TTTATATATATATATATATATATATATATATATATATATCGAGAGAGAGAGAGAGAGAGAGTGTGTGTGTGTGCTTTATATAGAGCCTTGGCTCTAAACAATCAAGTTAGAGCTTACATCAAATATTTCACTATAAGAGGTTGTTTTAATGTTAAAATATCCTCAAATTGATCATCTCGACATCAAGATTCATGAACTTGAGAAAAAAAATTGATTTCAAGTTTTGAAAATAATGCATATTGTAATACATTTTTTTACCGTCAATTTATAAGTTATTAAAGTTTTCATATATCTGCTTGATTTAGACTAGTTTTAAAGCTTTAAAAATTATAATTAAAAATGAAAATATATTTTAAGGTTAGTCAAATATTTCTAATATTAAAACCACATTTCTCGACACTATTTGAAGGTGGGCTATACAAACAACACCCATATATATATACTATTATATTTTATTAATTCTTGTAAATTTTTATAATAATTTAAGCAAAATAAGATTATGATGATAAAAGGAATAACAGAAATATCAATTACAAACCACGATGTGTGTGTGTGATTTCCTATTTTAATACTGAACAAAAGTTTAAACTGCATTAAATTACAAACCAAATATTCATACAGAATGATTACAAAGTAAACTAAATGTATAACAATACAGAAGGATTACAAACCATAAAAGCAAACTTACAACTTACAGATACAATAACTGGAGAATAACTTCCAATTGTGAGGACAATACGATGAGAGTGTATGGAAGTTACAATCACACATAATTAAACAGGAGAATATAAGAAAAGAGGATAAGAGAGAACTTGGTCTTGATGAAGCAAATGGAGAGTAATAAACCTTAAGGACATAAGGTTTGTACAGGTTATGGACAGTGAAGGTGGAGCAGTCTGGCAGAGGCGAAGAGAGATCCGAAGAGAGCAGAAGAGTGAGAGGAGCAGAGAGCAGAAGAGTGTGTAGGAGAAGGAAGCAAAGCTCTAAGTGGAGAGAGAGTAGAAAGGCGGTCGAGGGCTCCGAGACCTTCTGAGGAATGAAGAGATATGCCCTCCTTTTATAGAAAGAGGATGCTTCGAGATGAAGGAAGGAGGATGCTTCGAGGCTAAGGAAAAGATGCCGGATCCGGCATCTTTATGTCAGATCTGATTGAAAGAGAAAAAAAAGAAGAAACGACAAAATAAAAGAGAAGAAAAGACAAAAGAAAAGAGAAAGATGCTTTGATGTGACATAAAAAAGCATCTGTAATAGTGCTATTTTTGTCTTGACATGTCGGCAGCATAGTGTCTGATTTGTCGTATGTATCGGCAGCCACAGTGGCTAATACGGAGGGTATCTGGGTACGGTGGCGAAAAGCATCATGAGGTGTACAGTAGCGGTGTACAGTAGCATAGTAAGCCGGGGAGTCTTTATCAGGTTTTCTTTATGGTCTTTGACGGAACTCATTGGGATCTTCTTCTTCTTCTTCTTCTGGGTCTGTTTCTTCCAGTGGAAAGTATCTATTGGCACGGTTGGGAGATGATTG